ACACACACACACACACACACACACACACACACACACACACACGTTGCGTGCTAGCTGCAAAAACAAGTACAACCACAAATTCTGTGACTCTGCCCACAAAAAGCAAACACAGCAGCCGTCCCCAATAAAGTTGTTTGTGCACTTCCCACCACTTCCAGCACACCTGACTGATTCACTGAGTCTCTGTGCTTCTATTCAAACTGTCAGAATTGTTGACCCATCAACCTGAATCCAATTTGGGGACAAAGGTAAACGTGGCAGAGAGGTGAGGTGGCGAGCAAAGTGCTAGCGTGGCCAGCTCATTTAGAAACATATATTTTCTTGTAGCTGGCTGTCGGTCACTAGCATAAAATCCCAAACTCAGTTGCCTAGTTAACCCTCTAATGTGTTTAATGCACCCTCAGAAGCAGTGTTGGGACTAACGCGTTATTAAGTAACGCGTCACAGCAACTACGTTATTATTGGTAACGAGCACGGTAACTAGTTGTTATGCCAAAGTCAGGAACGCGTTACTCGTTACTGGGATAACTGGGCTGGTTATTCGTTACTTCGTGTGGTGGCTGTGGCGGAGCTTCCACAGATTCAATAACATTAGCACGTGGTGGAGGCAGCAGGTGGAGGAGGGAAGGGGAGGCAAGAGGAGAGACCCGAGGCGGCCGCTGGTCCGAGTGTGAACTGAACTTCAGGTAAGAAGTTCTGACCTGCAGTCTCTCTGGGTCAGATATGAACCAAGTGTAGGTGGAGTTTATTTTCGTTATTCTGACTTTTCCGTACTGCTACTAGCTAGCATGACGGAGTTTCTACACAGCTGGGTGGTGCTATGTTACTGATGTTGAACTTTATTTTGTTCATGAGGTTAATTAAAACAGAATCGTCTGGTATTCAGAGAAAATATTACGCGTTTCGTGTTGAGGTGAAAAGGAACAGTTTGTCCTGGACTTCAGCTCCAATGAAAAAGACACAAAGCTGGAGTTACTCTGTGTTTACGCTGCACAGCTGCCTCTTCTCCTCTCATTCCCCCCCCTCCCTCTCCTGTTTCTACTTCAATCATGAAACTAATCAATGATCAGCTGATCGTCTCTCGTTTGTTTATCGCCCACTTTGCGCCAGAAAGAAACCAGCGATGTCGAGCTAAACAGCAGCAGCACGTTTAAGCTTGATCAGCTGTTGTTAGAATTTATTTAATATTACTTTCTAGTATCAGAAACACACTTTCCTTTACAGAAACACTGAATCAGCCATCGGTTTAGCGCAGTGGGTGAGCAGGCGACCATATGCCATACAGCCGTCCCGGGTTTGAGTCCGGCCTGCAGCTCCTTCTCTGCATCTGTCTGAAGAAACTAAAAAGCAGAAACCCTGACAGGATTTCGCCGTCTGCATGTCTACACGCTGTGCAGCTGACGCCATGACGTGATCCAAACAGCTGTACAGAAGCAGAGTCAACCAACGGCGCTCACGTCTCAGTTAGCCTGTCTCACTGTGGTTATCATTTCCATACAATGAAAGCTCGTAACTGAGAGCTGAACAGGAAGTTGCTCACAGCTGTGGCCGATGTGTGTGCACAATGGAGTCATGATGTCTACAGATACAAGGTCGTTTATCAGTCTGAGGAGGGAAGTTTGAGGATCAGTTTGTAATGTGACACAGCAGAGTCGCCGTTTTCGCTGTTGTTACTTTTCACTTAAAAAAGCGCATTTTCCCACAAAGAACTGGAACCAGGGTCTTGAGATCAGTCCGCTGTGGCGTTGTCACGCATCCTTGTTGCTTTCAGGTGTGCGAGTCACGACAGGTGGCAGCCGTCTCCTGGTTTCAGCGTTTCCTGTGCAGGTTTTATGGACGGCGTTCTTTAACCTGGAAGCTTAACCTTCCAGTCTTATTTTGGGACTGATAGCTCAGGACTGCTTTGCAGAAATTGTGACTCGACGATGAACTGATCAGAACCGCGTGATCAAACAGCAAAGTTGGCGTGACTAAAAAACAGTCAGAGCCCAAGAAACAAAACCAAAAACATCCCCAAACTACTTTACTGACCCTAACTGCAGTCAGGAGCTCAAAAACAGAAGAGGAACTGGTGGCTGTATTTCACATTCAGTCATTTTGAAACTGTAGTGATTGTAAGACGTGACCAAAAGTCTAGCGAGCACACATTTCAGCAAACTTCCCTCTGGCTCTTCCACGTTTATCTTGGGTCCGTTTTCTCTGGAGGTCGTCCAAAGCTCCAACCTGGCCTCGGATGGCATTTAAGCTTTTTGTATGCCAGGATGAAAGCTGTTAATAACCCAACCGACCACAGACCACAGCAAACATGTGTATTTCCAGGCCACAAGCTCACTTCCTCCCGCTTGTCTCGCTCCTTTTGGTACACACACCAAAAAGCATCACTGCTTTAAGCTGCAGACACTCAGAGCTCCCCACAATCGGATAACGGCACATTGAAACCATTCAATCACAGCACGCATGTGTGGAATACATTTGTGCACACAGATCCAAACGCTACTGTACTTTTGAAACGCTGTGTTTGTTCACGTCTGACTGAGAGGAAGGCGCTGTGAAAACTCGGCATCAAACCACATGAAGAAGTCACCGGGTTCCTGTACAAAAACCACTACTTTGACATTGTGTTTCAGTGTGTGTGAACGCTGGCGACCCAGACAGAAATGCTGCTGAGAACCAAACCAAATAGGCCAACAGATGCACGTCTCCTTCTCTGCACACGGCGGGACTCCACAAACGTTCTCACGCTGCTCTCACGTTGGAGGCGAACCCGAAGGAAGAGAAAGACTGCCAAGGATCGTCGTCTTGTAACATTTAGATGTAACCGTGACACGATCCACTGTGGAGAGCCCACAGCTGAGAATAAACCCGATCAGTGGACAGCACTGTGATTGGTCAGGTAACTCTGCGTCAGGATAAATGATGGTCCAGGGTCAGTAAAGACATGTTGGGTCGTCTGTACCGACCACAGTTAAATTACTTAACTCGTAAATATTTTTTAGTTTGGGAGCAAATTTGTGAAAACTTATGAAGCAACAGCGACGAGGTGGTGCTGCAGCTCAGCAAAGAGGCGGGAAAGTGAAAGATCAGACAAAAGATAAGGTGTTTATCAAGCTGACATCAAAACGTTCAGTAAGTCTGTTATCAAAGCATCGGATCGAGATGAACAGGAGTGGGCTGAAACGCAGAGCCTGAAGATGGCAGGAGGCCGTCTTTCACGCACAGGAAACTGATCCGAGAGCTGCTTTAGCGCTCTGGAGTGATCAGGTGACCCATCGACGGTGGCCTGGGTTTGAGTCCGCCCTGGGTCATTCACTGGGTGCCTACAAACTGAAAAGCCAGCTTTCTCATGAGCACAGAATCTGCTTCCTCATTTTCATCTTTAGAAGCATCACGACATCATCGTGTCGACTCGACAAAGCGTTTTGGAATTTTGTGTCATTTTATCAGAAACGGCGTGTAAACAAAGACGATCTCATTTTATGTGAACTTCTTCTTCCTCTTCTTTGTGGATATTAAACTGTAACAGCCGGGAAACGGCCACACTAGTTGGACCGTCTGAAGCTCCAGGCGCTGCCTCAGTTCGATGTTTGAACAGATTATCACACATCCCACTTTCACTGCATGTGACCAGCGTGCAGTGCTGTTACTAAACACGGCCTGCTGCTTGGTGAGATGTTTGCTGACTGAAGCAACGTGTGGGGCCCCCACACGTTGAGCAATTAAGATGAGGTTTATGAAATGCTGAATGTCTGCTTTACTTCTGCAAAACAACCACATCGACGCATGTTAGCCACTTCTCTCTTCTGCCAGAAAACAATCCCTCACTGCTTTTAGCTGTTCAAAGTCTGCACCCCTTCAAAATAAAAGCTTCAGGAAATTGGGCACTGAATCAATCATGCGTCTGCTTCCATTAAATTACACCATGTTATCACGCCCACCCTCCAACTCACCGATCACGGTGTCGTAGTCCACGATGTCGAAGTAGACCACGGCCACAGAGCTCCAGACTCCCAGCAGACCCAGGACCACAAACCAGGTGAACACGGAGTACTTTGGGCCTCCACCTGCATCTCCTCCGCCTCCTCCCTCTGTCCTCTTTCCATTTTTGCTCTCCACCGGCACCGTCTTCCCCTCTGCAGGTGTGAAAAGCTGATGTTAATACCAAAGCCAGTTTGAGTAACATTTATTTCTTCTTTGAACGTGTGAACTGAGGCACGATCGCGCCTGCTGCCAGATTTAGATCAGCAGTTAACGTGCTGATAGCAACAAACTCGGTGTCACCCACAGACAGACAAGATCACACAGCACAGAGCTCTGTTGTTGAAGAATGAAGTGAAATCTGAGCATCGGGGCCACGTCTTTATTTCAAACCGTCGCAGAGAGGACGACAGCGCGCAGGTTCAAATCTGCACCACTGAAAATAAAAACGTTCTCGTGCAATAAGTTTTGTGTATTTCACAAAATGTATGCAAACTTTCATCGTCACAGCACGAGCTGGAGAACAACGCTGGTGCTGATTGATCGCCAAACAAAATGCAATGACCGGAGCAGGCGTCAAACCTGACGGCAGCTTTATCGTGTGGACGTGTCCTGCACTCCTGAGGTTACGAGGCTCAAAAACACTGAAAACATTTATTTATGAAATTAAAAAAGCAAAACAAAACTTAAACAGAGGAAAATATTTTTTTATTTACAAAACGACCAGAAAATAAGGAACATGCACACACATGTGCACCAGTATCTGTGCACCAGTCTTGCTCACCTGCACAGGTAATCAAGCATATTAATGTGTTATGACATCAGCAAACAGCAGCAGGCTGAAGCTGGGCGATCAGATTTAAGCCCTCTTTAGTGACTGGGTTCAGACTTAGTGGACTGAGGCGTCATGTTTCCAGCTGGTTTTCCTCAGGACAGATTTGGCACATTGTCGTACTATTTTAAGTGCTTTGGGAAAACAAGGAGACCGAGTGAGAGAGCGAGACAGGAAGTACAGGCGGAGAGCGCTATGACGTGATTAAACTGTAGGTCGGAGTGTCGGCTGAAGGAAAACTTCTGGTGAAAGTCTGAACGTCCAGGAAAAACAAAGAGGGAACAGAGAGAGGGGCAACATGGCTCCACAAAGGACAACCCGACCCAGGAATAGAGCGAGAGACACCGAGTCAATATGACCCCAACAGAGAGAGAGATGACAACAGCTGTTTCAGGACTGAACAGGCTGCAGATAAAGAACAGCTGTCTGCTTTTGCACTGCGTGAAAATGTCACTAAGAGCACTCCTGAAATAGCCCGAGGCTGCGTTCAACACGTGTGCGGTTAAAAAACCTCAAGTGTCTCTAAAAGCACTAAAGACCATAGAAAGCAGCAAGTAATGACAGCAGTGATGGAAGAAGCATCACCTCGGTCCTGATGTGGCTGATAAACACCCGGCAGTGTTAGTGGGTCACAGCTAAGGTGCTGTGAGTTTCACCTGGTTCAGACACCAGCACGAAGAACTAGCTTTAGAGTTTAAAGAGCAAAGGCTACGTCCACACTGAGGCTGCGTCCACACTGAGGCTACGTCCACACTAAGGCTACGTCCACACCGAGGCTACGTCCACACCGAGGCTGCGTCCACACTGAGGCTACGTCCACACTAAGGCTACGTCCACACTGAGGCTACGTCCACACTGAGGCTGCGTCCACACTGAGGCTACGTCCACACTGAGGCTACGTCCACACCGAGG